TAGTAGAGAGAGTAGGTAGTAGTAGAGAGAGAAGAGAGTAGTAGAGTAGTACGTAGTACGTACGACGAGAGTAGAGAGAGAGAGAGAGAGAGAGAGAGAGAGAGACAGAGAGAGAGAGAGGGGCCTTTTCCTGTGCCTCTGCTCAACTGGTCGGTCGGGATTTGCAGGATATATTTATGATGTAGGAGAGATAGGGAAATAATGAGGAAGAGGGGTGAAGGAGACCTGTCTATGTCGTGGGTTTTCCCAGGCTAGATATTCCACTCTCTTCAAGCATACTATCCATTTACTCACTTGGATATTGCTTAGGGTTAGGCATTCAAATTTTTTGAGATGAAATATGAGAAAGGATCGCATCGGACCCTCCTCTTTTCCGTGTCATGCGGTAGGATCTCAAATAATTATCTTTAAAATTAGTACAGATATCTAAAAAATTATTACATAAATGTGAAACTTGATCTTTTATAGATTCATGCCGAATTTAATGATAATCATTTGAAGTCATAAAAGAAGGTCCTACATAATCAATTCTCATATAATATTAATAAAAATTATTTTTAATTATAAATTTTAGTAATTTGAAAAAAATTAAAATTTGTATCTCAAAAATTTTGAAGATATAGAGACGTATGGTATCAATAAGGGTATGACCTTTAATAGAGCATAATGGTATACCACGATTCGCGTATCGCAATTAATTGAAAAACGATTATGACTATAAATGGACTCGGATCCGACCCACAACCCGTCGGGTATACATGATACGAGTTTAGGTATTGGTCTCACATTTAGATAAGGCGGGTTGAGTACGGGTCCAAAATTTTGACCCAAACATTATTCGAGTCTAGGTCCAGGTCCTGCTGGACCCGACCTATACCCATAAATTATTGGAAATAAAATATTTTACTTTAAGCCCTATTCATTTAGCTGTATTAAAAATCGTAGACAATAAGAACTTGTAGTCATCTTTAGCTACTAAACGACAAAGCATATGGCTTGAAATCTAATGGCGAGTGATTTTTAAAGAATATTAGAGAGAGATGACCTTTTGTAGAAAATAATTGTGCTCACACAAATCTTGTAGTGGTTCTTTCATTGTATATGTAAGAGTAACAATGATGTGATATACATTTTCCTATCCTGTCATGTATAATATACACTTTTTTATGTTGTTACTTTCTTATCTTTCATACCTTGTTACAATTTTCAAATTTTGTTTTTATTACTGCCCCTCAAACTTGTTTAGGAGGCATTTGAAACCCAAGTTTGAAACAAATATCTCAGAAAACATCTAATGGCAAAAGCTTGGTAAAGATATCAGCTACTTGATTGCGAGAGGAAATAAAACGAGTGATAAATAATTCAAGAGCAATATTTTCACACACAAAATGATCATCTAACTCAATGTGATTTGTCTGGGCATGAAAAACATGATTAATTGTCATAAGACTGAGAAAGAAGCACCTGCATATCCTGAAGAATAAAAGAAAGCCATGTCAATTCTGTAGCAGTGGATGTCATAGATCGATATTCCACTTCAGCGCTTGAACGAGCCACAATCGATTATTTTTTAGCACTCCAAGATATGCAGTAGGAATCGAGATAGGTGCAGAAACCATTGGTTGAATAGCAAGTGTGTGGACAGCCAGCCTAGTCTAAATCAGATAAAGCATAAAACTCAAGGGAACTATCAGATAAGATTCTTATACCATAGGACTGTGTACCACTGAGATAACAAAGAATCTGCTTCACTGCCTAAAAAGGTGCAATTGTAGGGGCATGCATAAATTAACACATTGTATTAACACTGTCAGAAATGTCAAGTTGTGTTATGATAATGTATTGGAGTGCACCAACAAATGCTCGGATAAAGGGATAGATTAGGAAATGGATGTGAATTCTTATGAATATTATTCTTCATTGTGACGACCATGGTATACAATCCCCATTAAAAATCAACCGGTATGATATGTGGGCATCGAATTGCCTCATAAGCAACAAAAAACTAAAAAATAATACTTCTATAAATTTAACCCATGCTTAAAATTATCATGTGTAAATACAAAGAGGGAGAAAGATTTGAATGAAGGGGCACCAGTAATATCTAGGCCAGGGAACGAGCTAAGTCTGGGCATGGCCAACCTTAGACCTAGCCAGGCTCTAGCCTCTATGAGGTTGGCGTAGGCTTGGCCCAACCTTAACCGGCCAAAAAGGCCTGGCACAACCCTTACCTATCAAGGCCGACCAAGCCAAATAAAAATGAAAAAAATAAAAAACTAAGAAATAAGAATGGCACAACCCTTACCTATCAAGGCCGACCAGGCCAAAGAAAAAAATAAAAATAAAAAAATAAAAAATAAAAAAATGAGAAAAATAAACCAGGTGAGCCTTAGACCGAACCGGCCCGGGCCGGTCCTACCTTTGGGTAATGGTTGTTGGGCACTGCCGCTCAGGCGACTCCGTAGTGTAGGTTTTCCATATCCTTCAAAAACACGCGTTACACGGCTGATGTTAACGGGTATGAAAAGGACAAACGAGCGAGAGAGGACCACTAAATTGATTGTTTATTTAATTTGAGTGGACCAGATAAGATGCACCGCACCCTACCAAATATAATTACCATATTGCCCCTTCCGTCCTCTACGCTGTCAGAGCACGTGGAAGAAAAGGTTGCGCGCTTCACCTGACTTTGAAGAGACGTTGAGGGCACGCCTTGTAATTGTCACAAAGAACGAGGGCGCTTGAGAAACTCAACTTGGAAGTATTTTGTTATTCACACTTTGTGGAGAGCGTACGAAATTACCGTCCACATGACTACTTGTCCAATCCACTTGACCTTTTATTTACCATAAAAGACATCGACTTCCGACACACCAAGTCAAAATCCTAGAGTCCTTTTCATTTTATTATTATTTATTAATATGAAAAAAATTTATATATAAAGTTGTAATTTTAAAATTTAAAATTAAAGACGTATCTCAAAAAATCTATTGAAAAATATTGTTTCATACTTCCTAAAGTAGGAACTTGTAAAAACTTGCAAAAATTAAGGAAATGAAAAACATAATTCACCAGTAAGATATTTGACTTATTTTATTTTATTGAACTATTTTTAGATTTTTTTAGTGTTGCATGATTATGAGAAGTAGAATACATAAAATTTTATCTTAATCCATTGCATAGAAAAAGATATAATTAAAATGCAATGTGCTCTCAAGACAAGGTAGACGAAACATAAAATACAAAATATAGGAAACTACTTTAAATTTTTAAAATTAAGTTTTTTATTTAATATCTTAATTATTTTAATTGATATCAAATACTTTGGATAAGACTCTAATGATGATAAATATCTCACTTATCTTATGTATTTAATTTAAGAATAAAGAGACAAAATTATGAGCTTGTGGTTGATATGATAAACGTGATAGGAAGTTAGATTCATGGAAATGACCCACTTTTCTTGCTTTCACACTGGTCATAGGACCTAATTTTTCCTCTCTTTTTTTTGTTCATCTGTCATTTTGTACCTATAAACTGTTGCTCGATATGCAGCCACCCATGTGAATATTTATTTGCTTTGGTAGGTGGTTCTGGCCATTATTGTTGTACTGTAAACGAGGGCAACAACTAAGTTCGATTTTTAAACTAAGGTTTGTTTACTTGTTATAAAATCTTGAAGTCAACGCTTAATGAAGCTTGTCATTATTAGGATTGAGGTGTAAGTGCGATCTAATAGGACGTGTAAATGCCATGTAATGGGAGGTGTAATAATGGAGAGATGAGTGAGTTACATGTATAATTCACAGGTCAGTTTCAGGTCCCTCTGTGTATAAATATCACCATTGGGTTGTAATATTTTGTATTAAGGAAATCAATAGAATAAGGATTTCTTCGTGGTATCAGAGTCGTAGGTTTTTTTTTAGCTTCATCTTCCATTCTTTCATTTATAGATCATGAACGAAATCAAAAGAAAATAAATACACGTATACAATAACAAAATGAAAAACACAGAGGAAGCCTCAATCCTAATCCCTCGATTTAGCTATGAAGCCATTGGACGCCTCCTGCTTGCCCTCGGGTGTACTCTATGCTCAACTCCACTATCTCGCGAAGCAGCACGAGAAGGAGGGATAGGTGGCCTCGCCATAGCCACTAGCCATGGATCGCCTGTGCAGAATCACAACCGGCCTACACTAATTCTACACTCGTCAATGTAAACTGACAAACCGGATCAGTAAGCTGCACCTATAGTGTCTCTGACTGCCTCCTATATGCATTCTAAAATATACAAAACAAATGTCAAGACGAATGTCTTATTTATGTTTAGACTTTTTAGGATATATCCTAATTTTGAAGGATTGTTTCCTAATTTTCTAGTGGGGTTTTCTTAATTATCTAGAATTTTCTAAGAATTTTCCTTTAGGATTTTTCTAGGGATTGTTTTGGTATTCTTTCTGGCATTTTAGTGGGGTTATTTATAGGCTTGAGCTAGGGTTAGTCTTGAAATAATTGGAATTAATTTCTTAGTTTCAATTAGATTCAGAATGGGACAATTTCATAATATTCTAGTAATTTAACCGCCTCAATCCATGGCTCATTTTAGAGCAACTCGCAAAATCTAGTGCATTCCCTTCTCGGCCACCATGGGCCCCCCTAAAATCTCCCCATTATGAAGCCAAACTACCTTTACCACTTAGATGACCACCCCTGGAGTACAACGCATATCTATCGAGAGACCACTCAGTGGCCGATCACCTAGCTAAGAGTGTTGCAAGTCTCTTTGGGGCCACGATTTGGCATGCTTGTCCACCTGATTTCCTTTCTCCACTTAT